GTTTTAGTTTTTAAACTTGGGTAAATTACTAATATTTTGAAATAAAAAGCATTATTACCTAGATGCTTGAAATTGTGTGTTGATTAATCTTCAAGAATCACAGATAGTGAATCTCTCTTCTTAGGCTTTAGCTAATAATAGGAGAAGGGAAACCTCTGTGAAGAGCACTGGATTGTCTGTTTTTCTGTTCCTTAAATGAGAAGACTGAAACAATGAGGCTTTTCATTGTTTGACCTTGTGACCCTTTGGCCCTCAGTCCTCTGCAGGTCAAACCAACTCCCAAGGTTACAGCTAATTAATATCAGAACAAGGGGTAGGGTGTATTGTGCAAAGTGACCCTTCTGTCTTGGCGGTTATTGAGTATAGCACTTGGAGGTTTGTTGTGTCTTGTGCAGTTATCTGTCACTATACATGGGAAATTGTCTTGAAATTGAAATACTAGGCAAATTTGTTTGGATGTGGCTGTGCTAATTGCTCTGAATTTCCTATAGGAACATTATTGAGTGTAGCCTGACATCTAGTGGCCAAGACATGTTAGTGTTTATCTTAAATAATTTGAGATATAATTGTGACACTTGGTTCTCTACTATTGTAATGATACTCATCTGCTCCACCTTTGACTGTTTAACTGTTGACTGGTGATCACCTGCATTACTACCTTTCATATGTCCTAATTACTTAATCTTAGAATGTCTTTACTTTAATTTAAATACACGTGGACAAAATTGTTGGTACCGTTCCATTAAAGAAAGGGAAACTCACAATAATCACTGAAATAATGTGAAACTGACAAAAGTAATAATAAATAAAAATTTACTGAAAATCAGACATTGCTTTTGAATTGCGGTTCAACAGAAGTATTTAAAAAAAACAAACTATTGAAACTGGCCTGGACAAAAATGAAGGGTACCCTTAACTTAATATTTTGTTGCACAACCTTTTGAGGCAGTCACTGCAATCAAGCGGTTTCTAGAACTCTCCATGAGACTTCTGCACCCGTCGACAGGTATTTTGGCCCACTCCTCATGAGCAAACTGCTCCAGCTGCCTCAGGTTTGAAGGATGCCTTCTCCAGACTGCATGTTTCAGCTCTTTCCACAGATGTTCAATAGGATTTAGATCAGGGCTCATAGAAGGCCACTTCAGAACAGTCCAATGTTTTCTTCTTAGCCATTTTTAGGTGGTTTTAGCTGTGTTTTGGGTCATTATCATGTTGGAGGACCTATGACTGAGACCAAGCTTTCTAACTCTGGGCAGCACATTTCGCTCCAGAATGACTTGATAGTCTTGAGATTTCATTGTACCCTGCACAGATTCAAGACACCCTGTGCCAGATGCAGCAAGGCTACCCCAGAACATAACCGAGCCTCCTCCATGTTTCACAGTAGGTGCAGTGCTCTTTTCTTTGTATGCTTTATTTTTGTGTCTGTGAACATGGAGCTGATGTGACTTGCCAAAAAGTTCCAGTTTTGTCTCATCTGTCCAAAGGACATTCTTCCAGAGGCTTTGTGGCTGGTCGGTATGCATTTTGGCAAATTCCAGTCTCGCTTTTTTATGATTTGCTTTCAACAGTGGAGTCATTCTCAGTCATCTTCCATGAAGTCCACTGTGGCTCAAACAGTGACTGATGGTGCGATCTGACGCTGATGTACCTTGACCTTGGAGTTCACCTCTAATCTCTTTGGAAGTTGTTCTGGGCTCTTTGGTTACAAACTGCACTATCCATCTCTTCAATTTGTCATCAATTTTCCTCTTGGGGCCATGTCCAGGGAGGTCGGCTACAGTCCCGTGGACCTTAAACTTCTGAATATGTGCAACTGTAGTCACAGGAACATCAGGCTGCTTGGAGATGGTCTTATAGCCTTTACCTTTAACATGTTTGTTTATAATTTTTTTTTCTAATCTCCTGAGGCAACTCTCTCCTTAGCTTCCTGTGGTCCATGTTCAGAGTGGTACACACCATGATACCAAACAGCACAGTGACTACTTTTCATCCTCTAAATATGCAGACTGACCGATTACAAGTTTAAAGACACCTGTGATTTCATCAACACCAATTACAGGACACACTTTAATGTTTAACATGTCCCTATGGTCAAATTATTTTCAATCTTTTCTAGGGGTACCATCATTTTTGTCCAGGCCAGTTTCATTAGTTTTTTTTTTTTTTTTTAAAGTGCTTTTGTTAAACCACGATTCAAAAGCTATGTCGGATTTTCATTAGTTAATTTTCAGTAAATTTTTATTTATTATTACTTTTGTCAGTTTCACGTTATTTCAGTGACCATTGTGAGTTTCCCTTTCTTTAACAGAAAGGTACCAACAATTTTACCCATGTGTGTAATGGCCTTCTACAAGAATGTCGCTTTCGGCTTTTCCCGTTTAGGGGTTGCCACAGCGAATCCTCACACTGACGACTCGCATGTTGACATTTGGCACGTGTTTCACGCTGGATGCCCTTCCTGACGCAACCTTGATTCGAAACTGGGGTGCAGCGGCGAGAGCGCTGCGCCTTAACCACTAGCCTACCAGGGACCCACTAGCCTACAAATGTGTATAAATAATTGGATTGAGCTATGACAGTGACTGACATACAGGGCTTCCCTGTGCCCTGCTGTAAATTGCTCATGAACTCGCTCAGTTTCCTTGATCCATTTCCTGTCATAAATGACGTTTTTCTGATTGTTTTGGTTCAAACTGTTGGGGAGCAGTTGTGGTTTAAACTTAACTCTCCCAAGATTAGTCCTTCAATCTGTCCATCCTCCAATCATCCTCTCTGCTCCATTGGTCATAGACAGCGCCCTAAAAAAGGGAGGAATTCCTATACTGTCTTAATTCCTACATAGACACTTATGTCTTCTTTTGTTTCTAAGGAACTGCTACATTTTTCCTGTTCCAATAAAACTGCTCTGCCTGTGTGTATATTGCCCTCTTCCTGGGCTCAGATCTAATCTGTTTCAACTATTCAAGGAATTCCACTAAACTATAACTCCCCCGTCCCATTAGCCAGGTGGTGGTAATAAAGTATCTGTGGACCCTCTTTGCTAAAGCTGTAAATCTAATGAGATTTCAGTGTTTTAGTGAACCAGTCTCCCTTGATGTTAACCAGTGCTCCAGTTAGCTAACACAATATACTGACCAATGATTCAGTGCACACTTAGGGTGATATGTAACTACATAACAAACACAACTGCGAGATTAAAATATATAAACTTATGTATGTTATATAATAAAAACCCTAACTAATTATTCATTTCTATCTAAAAATGAAAGTCACCCTAACATCTTCTTGTCACTGCTTTTCCCTGCCATCTATTAAATTTGTCATACCCTTCCATATCATATTTCTCTTTTTCATCCATTTAATCTCTGCAGAAACTCAAGCGGCTGTTTCCTGATGAGGTAGGTTTGTAATGGCTCGCCACGATCACCTTTCCGCTCGACTCTTCCATCTGTCATAGTGGTCTTTGATACCTAATTTACCAGTTTCCCTTTAATGTTACGTTGCTGTCTGTCTCAAAATGAGTCCACAATAACACACATGTTAAGTATCTGTGATTTGTCGTGTGCTGTACTCACATTAGATGTGCATGCTTTCAAGATGCACACTGGCAGCATGGAATACTTGGCACATAGACTAGTGATGCCTTCATGTGCCTGCAACAGCAAGGTGCCAAAATCATACACACTGACAGTGTATTTGTGAATCACTGTCAGTATGTGCCAAAGTTACATGCACCCTAAAGTAAGTTGATGTTTTTTTTTTTTTTACAATAAGTGATATAAACATAAAATAATTTAAATGGGAGGAAAGGAAATTCCTCATTGTGTTAAAACCAGCCCAAGTCATGTTCTGCACATGCCAGTGTTAGCTACATATGTGCCAGTGTTTCTTAGTGAAAACCTTTGATGTTTCTTATCCCTAATCATTGTCTCACATTGTTGAAAGGTTTCTACTATTGTAGAAAATGCACTGAAGGAAAAACAACCCTTTGGTCTTTTCTTATTTTTATCTTCAAACTGTGAGCTGATTAGCGATTGCTGTGCTGTTCTGTGGCCTTATAGCAGTGGTAAACTTTGCAGTTTTTCCCCTTTGATCTGTCTTCTAACCTGTGTGTTACTGTCTGCTAACTCAGTTGGAGCGTTTCACCAGCATGAGAATGAAGAAGGACAAGGAGAAGCCCAGCCATATGCCAAGTCAGCGACACTCTTCAGCTGCCAGCTATGAGATCAACGCTCAAAGCGCCATGCTGCATGATCATTCAGATGAATATGTCCTGGAGCTCTTCGAACAGATGCTGGTGAGAAAGACAGTAGAAGTGTGTGTTTTGGAAAAATAGTCTTTAGTGGATTCATCTTTTCATTATTTCTCCTGAACAGCCATGGAAACTCATATCTGGCAAATTTCATTCAAATATTTGTATTTATTTAAGCACTCACTGAATAAAAACAGACATGTAGAATTACACAGACATTTTATTTTGAAAACAAATCTCTTGAGTTGAGCAAACTGCAATGTTTGAAAGGTTAAACTGGAAGTATTTCTAAGTAAGAATATTCTCTTAGCACAGCAAAACCACCTCTGCTCACACTTTTTAACTGGGCATCTATTAGCACCTCAGTGGGGACTTTATATTCCCTGCTTTCAGTTTAAGAGAGACTAGTTTTTCATACCTTCCTGTCATTCTTCATATTTACATATGTCTCACAGTATTTAATTTATGCTTCCAGCCTTTATTTTTCTTCCTCTGTAACTCGTGCTGTCTTTCTCCAGGTTGATATGAACCTGAACGAAGAGAAGCAGCAGCCTTTAAGAGAGAAAGACATTATGATCAAACGAGAGATGGTCTCCCAGTACCTCCACACATCTAAAGCTGTCAGTACCAGAATAAGTATTACTAATAGAGTGTGATGAAGGGGAAGTTACAAAGAGCTTCATGCTGCATTTCAGTACTTGCTAAAATCGGTACAATTTGCAAAGCTTTTGGATCTTTACATGCCATATTGTCCAATCCTAAACACAGCATGCTACATATGCAGGTGTGTTTTGTCATGTTCACTGTTAAAACAAATATTGTTTTAAAACAACAAAAAAAATCCAGTTACACTTTGACATGCAGTATCATGGCCTTGTAGCAGAGACGGGCCTTTCCTTGACTGTCATTGTTCAGGAATTGAATTATTGCCTTACTCAGATGGGATTGTTGTATAGATTATACACATTTATTCACTGGTGAAATGTAGAAACAGTAAAATTTTTAAGCCATCATTTGTAGGACCAGCTACCCTTCTAGTAGTTTGGTAAATAATGTTTCAAAAGCAGCAGATGAACGATAATTAAATATGCTGAAAGTGAGTAGCTCTGAGGACCTACATAACCAAACACAGATGGTTGCTAATGTAGTTCATTTAACTGTGAAATAAGCCAATTAAGAGGAAAATCCTACATGCAGCACCCTTTAATTCTGCAAATCAAAATTTTAAATTAGCTTGACTGTTGCCCTTGGTAACTTGCCATTGTGCTTTCTTGTGGAAATAACACCAATTACAACCTGGAAGAAGACAAATATAAATGCAGAATGCAAAGTAATTTTGTGTTTGTGTGCCCACTGAGTCTGTTTGTTTGTTTTATTAGGGACAAAACCAGAAGGAGAGCTCCAAATCAGCTGTAATGTACATCCAGGAGTTAAAGTCAGACTACAGAGACACACAGCTGCTGAGCTGTCTAGAGTCTTTACGTGTTTCACTTAATAACAACCCTGTCAGGTAATACACATATATACATACAGCACTTATAAAAATAGATGCAGGAACAGTGTCAGCCTCCTGAGTTCAGTGAGACTTTGTGTTTCATGATCATTATGCAACTTGACAGACCCAGAGCCATTTACCAAAGAAAAACTGCAGTGTTGTGATGTGGGTAGATGACAGAATTCTTTACAATGGATTCACTTGCTGCCAAAGAAACTTAAATAAATACTGACATAAAGGGGACCAAATACATATGATCACAAGTGTTTTCAGATTTATGCTTACTTTATTTACACACATTTACTGTATAGAGATTTATTTTTACTATAACATTACCAAGTCTTTTTTTCTGTTGATTAAAATGTATGATTTATCCACTGATTCAAATTTGTAAAACATTTAACTTAAATAGTTGCTGCTCAAACAAACAAAAGCAAGTAATTTATGATTTGTCTGCCTTGAAATGCTCAGTCATTTTTTTGACCATTCACATTACATTTCATAATTGAAAACAGTTGGGGTTTTGTCAAGCAAGTTTTATTTTAGAAAAGGGGGAAACGTTACCAAATTTAACAAATTGCTCGGATTAATAAAATCTTGCAAGTAGGGTAAGAATGACCTTGAAAACAACTTGTAAATTAGGCTGTATACAGTATGTAACCCAGAAACACAGGGCTCATTGTTACTATTGATTTGTTGTATCCAGAAGACTGGCATTTCTATATACGAGTGGTCAGATTGGATTGTGGCAAAAATACTGTATGTCCCACGGGAATGGGAAATGCTAAAGAGAAAAGGCTGCAGTAAAATGTGGGGAGAAAAAAAAGCTACTGTTGCTACTACCATTGTATATTAATCATGCAGTCTCATCACTTTCAGTTGGGTGCAGAACTTTGGTGCTGAGGGGCTGGCCTTGCTGCGGAACCTGAAAAAGGAGGAAAAAGACGAGTACCCGTAAGTTAGTTTAACCACAGAATAGCCCACTGTACTCTGTAGCTGTGTATTCTACCTAAAACTACGTCCAGATGCTTTCTTCGCAGTATGCTGAAAAAACTTAGACCTGGATGACCGAGAATGTGCATGGACCCGTCTGTAGCTGTGTGTTGGTAATGTTTTCTATGCCTGTCTTTTTTTGTCATCCACCAACTAGAATGATGGGAGTGAAATGTCAGCATGAGATCATTCGCTGTCTAAAAGCATTTATGAACAACAAGGTGAGAATTCTGACTTTTTTTTTTTTTTAAGCATGCGTTTAAATACATAGGCCTTTCTTTGATGTAATTGCACTAGTTACCTGTAGTAAGTAATGGAATTAGTAATAGAATCATCATGACCCTCATCTGTCCTTGTAGTGAAACAGTTTTTCCACTAGATGGCATTGTGTTCAGTTTATTACAGTGACTGCAGTCACTGTAATAAAGAATGCTCAGAGTATTTTGTGTGGTAATGTGTCTACCCCTAGGTAAGTAGTGTAAATTATTATATTTCTTACATTATACTTTATATCTTAAAGTAATACATAGTTCAATACATAGTTTAGAACAATATCAAAATAACTAAAAATGTGTAGATACAGACAGAGTTTTGAAACTGAAAAAAAAGAGCACATCAGGTAAATGGATCACAGGTAATGGTTTTAAGCATATTTATAAGAAATCAGTCTTAGGTTTATTAGTGAAGATTAGTCATTAAGCTGTAAGTGTTAGGCTACAATATAGGTCAACATTACATTTTCGATGTATTAATAAACACTGACTACACAGTAAATCAGTGATAGTTTTAGTGTAGTTAGCATCCATATTAACAGCCTAGAGTAATAATATCCACTGTAGATGTAATTGAGGCATTCTGTGCTCCCCATGTAGAGTTTTAAAGGTGCTAGCTATTGTCAGATTGTTATGTCAACAGAATAAATACTTATGTCATTTTCAGAGTGGAGACAAGAGACACATTTTTCAGAACACTATAATTTAAACCATATATATATAATTTGAACTTTCCTGCAGAAAGGGACTTTACATAAGTCTTTGTGATCTCTACCTCCTTCCCTCCCCTCCCCTTTAGTATGGCCTAAAATCCATGCTGGAGTCAGTTGAGGGAATTCCCCTGCTGGTCCGAGCCATCAACCCTGTGGTGCCTGCTATGATGGTGGATGCTGTCAAGCTGCTGTCTGCCATTTCCATTTTGGAACATCCTGAGAACCTGTAAGCATTAGTGAAAGGTTTACAGTGGGGCTGCTCTGATCAAGTGTTTTTCTTAATGGTGGGGGTCTCTCAACCAGAGTCCTTCAATATTCTGATCCAATGCTAACATTTACTTTAATAGTGGCTCCAAAGTTTGCTGCTTTTGTGTTTCTTGCACACACATTCATTCCTCATGGAGACTTTTTGTTGACTTGCATTCATTTCTTGGAGACTTACTCTAAGTTTGACTAATACTAAACCAAGTCAATATACCCTCAAATTCAGTGATTTATGTGGTGAGGACCACCACCTGGTCCCCACGAGGAAGGCTGAGTCCCCAGAATGCGAGCATGTAATCAGGTTTCAGTCAACACAATGTGAAAAATGCCTGGCACACAGACGCAGAGTGCTGTAGAGGTGGGTGGAGAGGAGAAGCTGGATGACTTCATAGTCTACAAAAATTCATCTTATTTTCATATACATATTTAGACTTTAGGGTTAAATAAAATGAACACCTTTTTTTAGGTTATTCACAACAGTTTACTAAAATTACCCTAAGGAGCGATGTGTAACAATGTAAACTTACACTGTTTTAGGGGTGAAAAGTGACCACGATCAAAGCGGAAAAAACATCACATTGCTGCAAGTTTGTGTTCTGCTTGTTCAACAGATGTTTGAGTAATCACCTTGTGCAGTTAACAAGTGCTGTATTCAGCTCAAGTAAAATATAACCTCATCTCTGCTTCATACCATTCTGTGTGTGTGTGTATGTGCATCTGTTAGCATCACACTTCTCCCATCCCTGCTATACACAGAGATCTGGGAAGGAAGAGGCACTCAAGCAGAGAGGAGAACCACAGCAGTAGAGCAAAAGTAAAGAAGGATTAGCATTTGATCAGCTTTAATTTAGCTGATGGAGCCTTTATAGTATTCCTGGATCAGCTTGGGGCATCTCTAGTTAGCATGATGTCACAGGAATTTTACCTTGGTAAAATTCTTGGGGCATCTCTAGTTAGCATGATGTCACAGGAATTTTACCTTGGTAAAATTCTGCTGCAGTCTGGAGCACAAATGTAGTATGCAGTGTCATACCAGTGTCATGAACAGCTTTCTTGGCAATGATTAGCGTCCTAGCACTGACACCAGTAACCGAACAATTGTACATCATATTCTCTTTTGCTGGTGTGTCAGGTTTCCATAAAGACTATCAAATAAAGCAAAGAATGTACTTCTTCATTTTGTGTGTTTTCCCATGGCAAATTATTTTTATGCAACTACAAGAAGTAAAATTTTATCTTGCATAACTGTTTTGTTTTGCAGTCATGAGCGTGTTTTGGAGGCCATTACAGAGGAGGCTGAGAAACGGGACATTGAGAGGTTTCAGCCTCTTCTTGCCGGCATGAACAAAAACAGTATTGCTCTCAAGGTACATACACAGATGGCACACACATGCTTCAACTGTTATAACTCCTTGTTGTGTTTTTGTTTGACCCAGAGCATGCACTTGATACAATTTGCTGTGTATAGGATGGGGAAAAAAAAAAAAAAAAAAAAAAAGATTTTCTGATTCAGGATGTTTATTTGGCCCATTATGTTTAAACACACAAAGAATTTGTCTCTGGTACAGAGGCTCTCTCTATTTGATTATTTAATTTGATTCTGGATTCAAATTGAATAAGATGTTATCATACTCCAACTCTGTTTTCAAATTGTAAAATTAATTAGTAAACTGTGTAGTTCGAAAAAGATGCATTCATGCAGCATAAGGTCCCAAGTGCTGTAGGCTGCCTTACCTTTCAAAATTCTTTGATAATCAAATTTTTTTTACATCAGTTTGCCCCTGTGCATTATGCAAACAATGTTTTTAATGTTAAATGTAAAAAAAGATGCATTAATGTTATTTCTTTAAAAAAGTAACTGCCCTGAAATATTGGACTACACCCCTAACAGAACAGAATTCAATCGGGAGTTGAATCGAATTGGGACGTTGTGAATTGGAATTGAATCGATTCAGGAAATCAGTGGTGATTTCCAGCCCTGTTAGTCACTGAATGAATATGTTATCACCTCCCCAGTTAGACTGAATTGTGAGTGAAGCAGCACATGTAATTGTGTATTTTCAACTGAGAATGACTTGATGATGTGCTTTTGACAGGCTGGCTGCATGCAGCTAATCAACGCCTTGATCAGCCGAGGAGAAGAGTTAGACTTCAGGATCCACATTCGCTCTGAACTGCTCAGAGTGGGACTCAGAGACCTGCTGAGGGTACAGAAAATACCCTCTTTTGATTTTTCTCTCAAAGTGGCTCTCCAGCAATACACATTTGCATTGCCTTCCTCTTCACATCTATCATTATTTATGTGTCTGTCTTGCTGACAGGCTCATAGACTTTTTCTTAACTCTGCAAACTCACACTGGTGCTGCCATTCTCCCCCTTGCCTTGTTATCCCTCTGCCTGCATCCCATCTCTCCCTCTGCAGGAGGTGCGGACGATAGAAAGTGAAGAGTTGAAGGTGCAAGTTACAGTGTTTGATGAGCAGGCTGAAGATGACTCTGAGGACCTAAAAGCACGTCTTGATGATGTACGCATTGAGATGGAATATCCTTCCACTATGAAAAAATGTCCCTTTGTGGAAACTGAAGGTCTGCTTTTAACTTTGAATATAAAGTGTATCACCAGGAAAAGAATTTTTATGCCTGTGTGACATAACTTTACATGTTCATAGCGTTTTGTTTGCATTACTTGGCTAGTTGTATAAGTGAGAGGAATAACCTTTTGCTTTTTTTTTGTAATGAATGAATATGTATGATTGATGCATATATTGACTGAATCAACTATCGACTTAGTTAGCTCCTTTCTTCCTCTGTAATCACCCTGACCATTGTCTTATGAGACAGAGGCAAACTTAATATTTTTATACTTCACTAACATAATTTTACAGGCTCTAGTAACCCACTGTAGACTTTTTTTTTTTACATTGAAAATCCATCTCCAATGCCAATCAGCATCTTACAGACATTAGTTGTTGTGGTGCTGTATAGAACAGCAAAACATCCAACTACCAGTGGGTCCTCATTGCTCTATAGCAATGCTGACTGATCAGTTTTCATTATAAAAACACTGACGGGTTGGTCCAATTACATGAACAGCAACAGGTAAAAGCTACTTTATGCAGGCCAGTGCTTTAAATACTTACTTGGGTAACACCACTTGTATGGTTTGTTTGTTTGTTTGTTTGTTTATTGTCTTGATGGAAGCTATTACACTTTGATATTGTCAACACATGCATATATGACCACTTTGTGAAAATGGAAATGAAATTAGTACTTTAATAGCTTCATGCTATGTGGCTATGGGCTACCCAGATAGAACCTTAATGTTTGTCTGTTTCATATTTACCAGATAATACATACTCTTTTTGACTCTATATAACCTCTAGTTTTTATTAAAAATAAGGCAATCGTAATGTGGCAGTGTACATTTTATAAATGGCTTCAAAAGGAAATTCAGCCAATGCTGTAATGGTTTCTGCTGCTTTTGACATGTAGTTATAGTGTTCAACACCAGGTGTCTCCCAGGAATACCCAGTGCAATATACTATAGTGTGCCTGTCTCACTGCAGTGCGATAAACACAGAGATAATGTAACAGAATTTTGTAAACATACCTGTCAGAACTTAGCACAGGTTTGACAACCACCTTAATACGTTTCTATAGCACTGCATTGAACAAAGACTATCAGATTGGTGTCAAGTCTATCATCTGTCTGACTTGTATTGCACTGAAATTCTGGAGTTGTTCCAAGCTTTATGTAAGTAATATACAGTATGCAGCTAATACTCATGCAAGACTATTCAGAGTTGCCACTGATCATGCTGTAGTGACTGTTAATATTTGTATTAACCTCTTCATTGTTCTGATTGAGCCTTAACTGATTTAGCTTCAATGATGTGAGGGAAGTGTTTGAAATCTTGGTGAACACGGTGAAGGACTCAAAGGCCGAAAGCCACTTCCTGTCCCTGATGCAGCACCTACTGCTGATCCGTAATGATTATTTGGCCAGGTAACACATGTCTCTCACACACGCTCCTACTCTCACATTCACATATTAGAGCTGTTTTGTGATAAGAGCATAGATACTGTATCATATGGGATCACTACTATTTTGTTATTGTGTTGTCTTTATGAGTAATAAGAAGGACCGGGGGAAGTAGAAGTTTGTTCCGTTTCCTTCAGTTCTCTTTCACTCCTGATAGCCCTTCTCTTCAGTTGCTGTTTATTATCTATAGCACCGTCCAAAGAAATCCAATTCCATTTTAATAGAAATGAGCACCATCACCTCTTATCTCCAGAAATATGCTAATGTCTCTCACTGTGCCCTCCAAAGCTTTGGGAGTTTTTTCGTTAGGAAAATGAAGAGTGAATGATTGAATAACAAGATAGGTGTAGAATAATAAGGACAAGTCAAGAGTTGCATGGCATAATGTATGAACATCCATTATATATACTTCACTATTTATACTTGATTTCTATCCCAGACACTAGGCAAAACACACAAACGTGCATGCATGCACATTTGAAGTTAGTTAATTGTGGTTTACTTTTAACACAGATTGGGAAATAAATTGTGAGGATGTAATTGATGGGCCGGGCCACATAATTGGCCCCAGCTGAAGTCTCTTTACCTTCCCCTCAATCTTGAACATGGTAACTTGTCTTCTATGGCACTTTCTCCATCCAGGTGATCCAGTGGAATACAATAGAGGTGGTCTGTAATGGACTCCACAGAGAGACAGGTAGTGAGGGTGGGAGGAAGAGCTGTAGAGTGTCAGAAAATACAGCTTGGTAATTACAGAGATGAAAAGAGATGGGAGGTAGAGGACGAGAATAATGAATAAGAAATTGAGAGTTGAATTAAATTGCTAGGTACATGTTGGGAAAACTAGGGGGGCACATACATAGAAAGGAAGGGTTAGTATTTGTGTAGAAATGAACAAAGGAGGTACCTGCTGTTCTGCTCTTTTCAGTTTTGTTCTTGCTGTGTTTCAATCTCAATTTAAGATGATGGCTTAGGGATATACATAAATGCGCTCGTGCACAAACTACAGGGGATAATGTGCTTAAAAATGCAATGTCATCTGTGTATTTATTTTAGCTTTTATCACAATGTGTATTGCCTTAGTCCTACCAATCACCATTTCTGTAATATACAGTACCTAATATCTAGATTTATTGTGTTCAGGCTCGTGAAGGATGACTGATTTCAGATTTAGTGTAATCAAATACAGATCTTTTTTCGCTTTGACTCTATTTTCAAGAATGACACTAGATGTCTCTCTCGCTCCACGGATAAAACTACACTTTAGAAAAAAAATCCCTTGAAGTATAAGTGAAAGATTGGAATATGTGTTAGACAAAGGCAGAGTGACTAAGAGAGACAAGGCAGTGAGGGAGACAGAATAAATAAAGCATTGGGTTTGTGACTCTGGCAGCATATAATGGGGTCAGAGAATAAGACACCTCCAAAATTGAGTGTCTGTGTGAAGCTGACTTGATCAAATGGGGTTCTAGGCATACACTAATACAAACTCTTGAACACGATCAATCTTTGTGACAACAAACTCAAACTGTCATGCTCACACAGACAGTGGATCTCAGTTGCAGACCAAGGCAAAGCGACAAAACGTGTAGTCACATGTCTGAACACAAAAACCCCTTTGTGATTTGTCAGTCCCACTGCCAGGTTTCTTGTTTATGAAGACTACACTGGTGTTGTAAACCACATACATTTGCTGTAATTGTCACTGTGGACAAAGCATGCAAAGTGTGTTGTAGAGTGACACCTCCTTTTTTGTTGTTCTCCTGTTACCCTTTTTTTGTTCTTCTTGCCCTGTCTTCTTTTTCCTTGTCTTCTAATTCAACTCTGTAAATCGTCACTCCTTCCTTCCCACAGGCCGCAGTACTACAAGTTAATAGATGAGTGCGTCGCTCAGATTGTGCTTCACAGGAATGGCGCAGACCCTGACTTCAAGTGCCGTAACCTTAGCCTCAATGTTGAAGGCTTGATAGGTGAGTTGTTAAACTAGAACACACATGATCAAGTCATTTCTTAATTTCCAAGTCTTTCCCTCTAAGTGTACATGCTGCCTTCTTACCCATCACTCAACACCCGTAACATTTAGTTGTATAGACCAAATCAGCCCAAAATGCTCACAGAGCAGAAAAATTTAATGTTGCTATGCAGTACCGTTTCAACAAAACGCCACTGCCTTACTCCAGTCGCCCACACATTTGCTGTGTTGATGTTTTTGACAATGTACCTGCTCTATGTGATTAAATTCAGTTTCATTCAGCCATGTTAAATTGCCCATCTACATGGTTCTCAAATGTGCAGTGGCCCAGAAAGACCACAGAGTGGAGCCAGAGAGTGAGTGTTCATTAGTGTGAGCTGAACTGTGCTACAGGTTATACAGTCATATTTTCAGTGCTTGATCCATGACACGCAGTACTAGAATGGTTTGATGGTAACCTTTAGGCACTAGGTCATTTTCTGTCACTTTGCTGAATATACCTTGAACTTCAACCACAAATGTAAGCAGTTTTTTTTTTTTTTGGAATGGTGTTTATGTGGACTTCAGGGCTTAAGTGACAGCTCTAAGTGTTGACTAGTATACACCTTCTGACTATAGTTAACCAGAACAGAGTGGAGGTGCAGGCCATGTCTCAAGAGTTCAGTGCTTCTTTATGGCAGGTCTCTGTTGCTCATTGCATGAGGCTTTAATTGCACTGCTTCTAAATGTGTACTGAAACACACACAGAAGCTGGCTGGCCTCCTTTAGGGCTGCCAGAGTTATTATCAGTGGAAAGCAGCCCAATTCTGCCCTGACTGCATTATTTAGTGTTTTTCTTTGAACTCAGAAATTCAGCACAGTTTTCCCCCTATATTCTATCTCCCTTAGTGCCCTCTATTTGAAGGTTGTCCCATTTAGCATAGTCGCCATGACAGAAGTAACCCCCCATTAATATAACTAATGACCAATAACCATGTAAACTCATACACAAATGCAGACTCTGAGATTGCATGTGGGTTGCCTTTCATCTGGCAGAACCTTCCCTTTCACAACACAGATTTTCCATTTTGATCTTCCTTTTTTTACTACCTTATGTAGATGTACAGCTTTTTCCTCTATCTGTATTTTCACAGCACTTGAAGGCTCACACTTCTCTTTACAATCTTTACGATTCACTTTTCTTCAAGTTTAGGTAAATTCCTCATTTTCCTTTTCAGCTTTTTCACATCTCTTCCATCTTGGCTGTCTATCCGTTTGATCCCCCTCTTGGACACCATGATTAGCTGTCTTTGATCCGGTGACTTTATGGCATTCATCTTCCTGTTAATTAGCTTCTTTACTGCATGTGCTTGCTAAGCCCTTTGGCACTGAACCACTTGTAGACACTGCAATTATTCTGTAAAAGTACCCTGTTGGTCAGTCTGTGTCCTCTGCCAAACAGAATCTGGATTACTCCCATACTGTTATAGAGTCTTTCTTTTATTTGTTCAGTCTTTTGTAAAAAGAAGGGGTGAATATAAAAATTTGCAAAAGCGGTGTGATATATTTAGCAATCAAGTAAATTAGTTCTCACCTGTCAGATACACTTGCATTCAGACAATGGCATATGCATTGGAAGTTTTAAAGGTAATTATTTGTAAAAGCAGCATGCAAGCATATGCATTGGAAGTTTTAAAGGTAAGCAGCATGCAACCACAGCATCCTATTGTAATGAGGTACCTGTACAATATAATATACTGTATGATAAGGGAGAAATAAGGAGACAAGAAAGTTGATCTGTGTGTTTGAGTTTAACACAGCATGTGCCAAACTGAACAATGTGATGTCTTCATGGCTGGATGTATACAGGTGTGTTGTTTGACACCCTCATCTTATCCACCACTTTTCCCTCATCCCTCCTCCTTCCTTTCTTCTGTCCTATTTTTGTCTGCAGACAACATGGTGGACCAGACCAAGGTGGAAACCAGTGAGGCTAAGGCCACTGAGCTGGATAAGAAGGTGAACTACCTGTATATTATTCACATTCAAAATGCACAGACACACACGCACAACAGTGACTTGCAGTACATACAGACACATTTGCTTGTCAAACCAGAAACTTCATATAGACTACTATAATATGACACAAAAGAAAATGATACCTTGTAAAAGCCAGCATTTCCCCCTGATACCTACAAACACACTGGGATGGTAATGAATTTTTATGCAACCAGTGAATAGCTGGCATGGAATGACAAATGACCAAATGAGAGGAACAGAGGGTGATTAACAGAATGAATGTACACACGTCCGACTGCTGCCAGACACACAAATTTGTTCACAGGCTAGCAAAAAGCACACTGCACACACATTCACAAAAGGAGGTAAATGCTTTTATATGGTGTGCTTCTACCCTGATGTTTCTGTCCAAGTGACAGGATAATTGAAAAGAGGGGGCTGAAACTATCCTCCATTCAGGCACACATGGGATCATATCCACTGAACACACACATGTGCGAGCCCACATTCCATGAACACAGTTGGACTCATTTTCATTGACCACACACACCGTAGTGCTAGTTGTGCATGATGGGGTAATTGCAGGCATTCTCTTTGGCAGGAATTAGGGATGAGACTGTCAGGACGCTGACAGCGAGGGTAACAGATCTGCTGTCTGCAAATTAAGTAGCTGTGTGTGTCTGTGTTCATGTAGTTATCTGTTGAAATACTCTTATCCTGCTTGTCAAGTGTCCCAGAAGAGAAGTCCTTGAAAATGTATGTAAGTTGGAAAATTAACATTGCGGGTAAAATGTTTCTCTATTACTAATTTTTATGAAAGTGAAAAGTGAGCTCATACAAGTGCACTGAACTAACTCAATATTTGATACTAATTTGCAGTGTAAATTATACAGTGAAACTGAAAGCACCACACAGCTGAAAATGGCTTCTACAGGATTTTGTGATATGGAAACTATTGCAGCTTCAAGAGGGATACGTCAAGCTTGTGCGTGCAAAAACACTTTCTCCTGTATAGTAACAGAGAACGGTCTCATTCAGCCTTATTCCTATGTTAGTGCCCCTTCTGAACTGCAGCAGCACCGTACCCATTCTTGATTCAATTTAGACAACTTTTATTTTATAATAAGAATGTTTCTTTTGCCCAGGCTTTGAAACCTGCTTTGTAGTTTTAGATTATGGCACAGAATACAATGTTTTAAAATATTTTTTAATTTCTTAAATATTTCGTAATTCATTATATTAGAGTATTGACTTTATATTTTTGACTTTTATGTTTAATTTACTCAAAAATAATGACAGTTTTTTCCTTATATGGTTTCAGTATGACAGTACTTCATGAATGTGATCTTTTTAAGCCATCCTCTGTCTCCCATTCAGGGTAAGAGATTTCTTTGCCATGTGGACATGGCTGGCAGTATTCCATAAGTTAAAGCTACACATATTTAGCTCACTGTTCATTACAGAAATATATAATTAGGGTAAATTTTAGATCTCAGAACTTCAGAGTAGACCGTAGTAAGATTAAGCATCACAAGACATTACTGGTTTAGGTTAAGGTGAAGGTTATGCTCCAATTAAGGTAAAGGGAAGCACACATGTCTCCCAGAATTTTGAGAGATAATGGTATCCATATACGGAACCCAACTTTCACAGCACAGGATCTGTGCATTCCTAGAATTAATAGGACCTTTTGTTAGCACCTACGTGAAGCCTGGGAAAGCACTGTTTACTGCTTTCAAGGGGCATTCTCTTGAAATTGACCCCTACACAAGAATTGTGAATTCCTACAAAAGTCAGCCCAACACTTTTTAGGATAGTAAAGCTTATTCTCTGTCTGTATTAGCTGAATGCAGAGTTGATGGCGCGCCAGGAGTTGCAGGTGGAACTGAAGAAACTGGAGGGAGACTATGAACACAAGCTGCAGGACTTGAGCCAAGAAAAGGAACAGCTGGCCTCTTCTAAGCAGGAGCGAGAAAAGGAGAACCAGGAACTCCAAAAACAGCTAAGCACTGTGAAACAGCAGGTACACACAAACACATATACATAATCACCTGTCTATGTAGGGATCTATGCCATTTAAATTCAAATAACCCCAAATCTAAATAGAAGCTGTGTGTATTTTGTTTTTTTGTTTTTTTAACTGTGAAGTATCAAGTCAGTCAGCTTAATGTGTTTATGTGAATGAATCTTAAAGTGATTGCCCAGAGTGAATTGATAGCGAGTTAAACACCATGCTGCACTTCCACCTTCCACAGCCTCTGTGGCATTAATACAGTATTTCCATCACCGCATCATGCCACATTGTTAATATGAATAAACAATTAGACAGAATCAGCACAAGTTGAGTCATATAATTGAATCAGTCTTGTTTAATGTCTTGGAAAGACTAACACACAAAACAAACTTCTGCTAAAGCTGCAAGAAATTAAATATTTTGAGGCTGAGATAAATACAATATGGCAGAAGTCAAAGAAGCAAAAAGTTGTCCAACATCTATGCACACCCACACGAATAAAGAAGCTTCTCGGCCTTAAATGGTTTAGCCTAATGCTTGCATGCCATGAAAAGAAGAAAAGATGCCACTAAAAAGATTGAGAACAGGCCAAATCCTTTAGAGATTAAGAAACTCAATAAAAACATTTAAAGTGGGCAAATGCGAGTCTAAAGAGTGACTAAAGGAAGAAAAAAGGCAGAGGATCGAGATGGGACAGACAAAGGTTTTTGGTTCTTTTTTTTTTTTTTTCTTTTGGCCAAGAGACACATGAAATTGGTGGGTGTTTGTGTATACATGTATTTATTACATTGTGTGGACACATTTTTGTTTGATGCCATTGTTGTTAGCCTCCTTCACAACTTCAAAGTGCTGTTTGATGGTTAAGACTTGGTTTCAGGTTAGAGTAAGGTTTATGTCAGGTTAGGTTAGGTTAAGGGGAAGAGCTGGGGTTAGTTATTAGGGTTAGGGTAAGGGGACAGGGTATGCACTATGTCAGTGCATGTCCTCACAGTTGTAAAAAGACATGACTGTGTGTGTAAACCCTTACAACAGGGAGGCAAAGTGATGGGGATTGTTTAGCTGTCAGTGTCCTGCTGCCACACCACCTGGACTCATAGTGACACCCAAACTCACAAGCACACCAAGTGACCCAGGACCGTCTGCCTCTCTGCATGTGTTCTCATAACCACATGAAGATGCTCTTGTGTGTCTCTCTGTGTTTGTGTGTGCATTGCCAGTTAAGGAACTATACAGCTTGATGCCAGCAGTCATTTTCTCACTGCACACATGCATATGCACAGTCGTCCAAAACATCAACAGTATCACAAGTCAGGCATTAAACAATCTTCTCATACTAAGATGGCTCACTTTCTCTGTGTTTGTGACAATGCCCATCGAAAATTTCTTTGCATGTTGAGTTCTCTCACTGTCCTTTTGTGTAATGTAGTGCCCAGTTCTTCATCTGCTGCCCTACTAAGAAAGCCTGCCTCAGAGGCTGTTAATTTCAGTTTTTCTTTTCTTTTCAAAGTCAGATGACTACACAAGCAATTTGTTAAGCTGCTTATAGACGCTCTTTCACACACATGCACACACGACATGTAGCAAATAGCCTCTCAACATCTATACACTTTAAAAAAACATAGTGTATCCCCTTCCAAACCCTGGTCTTCTCATAGCCCAGTATTAGCTGTCTAACTTTAAAGGCTTAGACGGTCTTTTCAAGAATTGTCACCTTAATGACGTAAATGATGTAATCAGAATTTCAGTGCAGAAATAAAAAAAAAATGTCCACATCACTTCTAATGTAAAAGTTTGTCCTCGCTTAAAAACTTTTATTTTTGCAATGCCTTTTTGGATTTAATTCCCCCTGCTGTATTTTTCTCTCTGTGCCTCATCCTCCATTCTCTCATCATCTCTTCCCAAACTCAATCCTGCCCAGGCTTCAGTCTGTTTCTGTGTCACTCTTTCTGCCTTGTTTGTTCTTTTTTTTTTCTCAAAATCTAATCTCACTTCTACTATTCAATAGAAACAGCAGAAATGGCTAAATCTTGACAGAATGATCAATTCAGAGAATAAACAGCAACCAATGTGCAGTCAAGACTTGCTAATATGATATCGCTGTGTATGGTTTGAATATGTAAAGTATTAGATATTAGCACTTGATAATACACTGTCTTTACTTCACACAGAATGAAAAGCTGTCTAAGGATCTGGAAGAGGCCAAGAATAACGTTGTCACAGTTAGGGTTCCTGTACCAACACCCCCTCCACCTCCGCCTGGCCAGAATACAGGTCTGCCCCCTCCACCTCCGCCACCACCCCTACCAGGAGTACCTGTTCCCCCTCCCCCTCCTCCTATGCCAGGCAGTGCTTGTATTCCTCCTCCCCCACCTCCTTTACCAGGCATGCCAGTACCTCCACCAGCCCCGCCCCTTCCTGGCATGCCAGTACCTCCACCCCCTCCACCCCTACCTGGCATGCCAGTACCTCCACCCCCTCCACCCCTACCTGGAATGGGACTTCCACCGCCGCCGCCACCACTGCCTGGGGGTCCTGGTATCCCTCCTCCACCACCAGGCCCAGGCATGCCTCCACCGCCACCATTTGGTATGGGCGCCTGGGGTGCCCCCGCACCACCTCCACTGCCTTTTGGGCTCCAGCCTAAGAAGGAGTACAAGCCTGAGATCCAACTAAAGAGAGCCAATTGGAGCAAGGTCAGCCCTGAGATAGATGACTGAAAATATTAATAATATTTAAAGACACATTTAATTGTGCTATTTTCCAATATAATTTGAGATAACTCGGTGTGCTTTTGTGTCAGTGTAGCAGTGTGGGACAAACATGAGAAGGCGATTCTGACTAAAAGTGACTTGCATGTATACATGTATCTTGTGCTTCATGTTCTCCTCCTTCTCATCTGTGATAGTTAAAACATCGCAACAGCCCTCGGTCTCTCTTTAGCCTAAAGCCACTGTTTAATGGCTGCAGCAGACTTCATCAGCATTTAGCTGATGCATTCTCTTGCACACTTTCTCTCTGTCTTTGTCTCTCTCGCTGTCTGTCTCTTCCTCTCTGCCTGTCTCTCTCTCTCTCTTATGTCTCTCTCTCTCTGGCAAGAGTGTTTGACGAGGATGTCACAGAAATTGCTTTTTAATAAGCCTTCTTCTTTTAACTGTGCCACTGAAAGATAATTAAATTGCTGCTAGAAAGGACAGTATTCTTTTGTAATTTAAATTAACTTTTTCTGGCTTGGCCTCGCCTCATCCTCCTTTTTTGTGTGTTCTCTTGCTTTGTGGCCTGTTCCTTCAGCATATCACATTTCCTTTCTCTACCCTATGTCTTTTCTGTCCTACTCGTGCCATCCCTGAGGTTTTGTTCCTCAATGAACGGCCTGATATCTGTAAATATAGTAACACTGCTTTCTCAATTGCTCTTTCTATTTTGCTTTCTCTTTTTTTCTGTTTCCCTTAATGAGAATACTAAGTGGCAGAAAAGCATGCAAATTAATTGTGACTTGTGACCAAAATAGAGAGACCAAAATAGGATACAGAAAGGGTGATAAAAGAAAAGGAGTAAAAGTGGAGCCCTCCTTGTATTTCTTTGCATTTCTGTGTATGAAACTCTGAAGTGCAAGATGCTTTGTAGTAGAGACTGTGCAAAGATTAGAGAAAATTACTGCTTGTTTTCTCCTCTCCCTCCCCTCTTGGCGCTTTTCTTCTTTCCTCCATCCTCTTCCACACCCTCTACTACCATACTGTCTTTTATAACCCTGCTGTTTCTTTTGTTCTGTCAACCTCTTTATCTGTTCACCTCATTGTTTGCCAGATGCGCAGATGATCGCTTTTGGTAAATTGAGTCAGTTTGATGATACAGTTAGAATTACATTTCTCACTTCTTCATTTTATGTCCCCCCTCTCTCTTCCTATACATGCTGGCATTTTTCTCTCTTAGATCGGACCCGAGGACCTGTCTGAGAGCAGTTTCTGGACACAAGCAAACGAGGAGCAATTTGAAAACAAGGAGCTATTTGCCAAACTTACCTTGGCCTTCTCCTCACAGACAAAGAGTGAGTGTGTGGCTTGTGTGTTTTTACTGCTGCTGTTATCATGTTGTTTCTCACAGTAACAAACCATGTCTTTCTCTGCTCCCCCCCCATCCCCTCTGGCTTCATGTCTATTTCAATCCTCCTGCTCTGCTTCCATCAGCCACTAAAGGTAAGAATATTATGCACTCCCTTCCATTTTAGTTATTTTTTTCACACATCTTTTCCAGCCTTTCTCACTCTTCCTCTTCCTCTGCTTAGAGGACACACTGCACACTTACATTATTCAGCAAAGTTGTGTCAAAACAGCATCTCACTCAGGTTCATGAATAAACCACTCACACCTGTTTTTGAGTAGCTGTTCATCTTCTCAATGTGCCCATGACTTGTTGTGCAGAACCAGAGACAGAGCATTCACTACCTACCGGGTGAGATGATTTGGGAGAAGGTCACTGATGTCCTTTGACTGGCCACCTGCTGTCCTGGCACAAAGCGCTGACACGAGCGTACACTCTCATATACACACCTGTCGACTCATATCACCTTGTCCCAGTGTCACTGGGCCTTCTGCTCTAACTCTTCCATATTTATATTATAACTAGGACACCAGAAAGTCACAGACAGGCACCGTGCGGGTGTGTATATAATTCCATCTGACCTTCAGATTCAGTCTGGGTACACATACAAATACAGACTCTTGCTCATGTCATGCACATGAAAGTGGGCATGCACACATGGTTGTTGCTAGCTGCTGATGTCAGTTAAATGTCGATATAGGTAGCTGTCCCATCTGAGAAGTCATTATTTGGAGCCCCCCTTCCCACTTGGCCCTTGCACCCATGCCTCTCTTTTTTATTGGTTAAGACAGCTGCCCCTGTTCCAGTTGATGTTCTAATAACCTTTTCTGAGAGCTGAGTGTAAGACATCGTGGCCTTTTCATAGCCTCACACCTGTTTGTATGTCTGCTTGTGTCGATGTAGTGTATGTGTGTGTGTGTGTGTGTGTGTGCGTGTGTGTGGAAAGAGAGAGAGGGTGTTCATCAAAATGTAGTGCACATTTTAACAAAATTTTGAGAAAAATGTGAATAGTTGTATTTAGTTTGCCGGGATAAACAACTGGTGCACTAATTTTTCAGCTGGGTAAAATTAAACAATGGCAGGAGAAGAGGGCGCAACAAACTGATGTAAGTGACGTGCCAATCAGACCTCGAACGACGAAAAAGATAAATGTAGGAAAAATGATGAAAATATGGCATTGGTTTGATTTATGTGTTAATTTGAGAAATATTAGAATTTTCATTACTCCATAAAGACCTTTTTGTGTCTAATAGTTTTCTACTCTTTGATTAATTAGCTACATTCGCTTGCATTGGACTGTGTTGCATTTTACTTTGAGTTAAACACCATTTTTTCTACCTGAGCCAAGAGTAGAAACCTTTTTGCAATAGTTCAGAAATTTCTTTTTAAAGAATTTCTGGAACTCGCCTAGAGAGAGACATACCAGGTGTTTATTACTCTGTACTGTATTTGTGAGCTTTTGCAAATAGTCTTTGGCAACAGGTGTTTCAGGGAGCTGTTGAGTAACTGTTTTGTCTGTGAGCCTGTGAGTGCCCATATGTGCTTTGATCCACACTGGTGTATATTTTCTCAAATGGTCTTGTACTTAAATAGTGCTTTTCTACAAAATGATGCACACTTCATAATATTTCCCATTCATCCATTCGTGCACACAAGCATTCACACACTTGCGCACTGATGAAAGAGCCCCCGGTGGCAACAAGGGGTTCAGTGTCTTGCCTAAGGACTCTTTGCCATATAGACTAGAGAAGCTGGGAATCAAACAGCCACCCCCCCGGTTAGTATATGGCCTGCTTTATTCCTTGAGCAACCAGCTTGTGTAGATTGATTCTTCACCCCTTGTCCTTCTTTCTCCTGCTTAAACACACTACTTAAAGTCTAATACATTTTTCCTGTCCTCCATATCCTTTTCCTTATCCCTGACCTCTGGGCCCCCAACTGTTCCTGCTCCTCCTCTGTTTGTGCCTCCTATTCCTCATTACCTAGCAAAAGCAGACTGAAACCACACTGAGGCACCACTGACCCGTGTACAGCTTAGCTGGGGTTGCACACATGTGCACCCGCATAGAAAACAGATGTCCAGGGGTTTGTGTGCTCAGGCCAGCGTCAGGGTTATTGATTTCTGAGGCTTGTTGGAAGAGCAGAGCGCTGATGGTGGCTTTCGTGGACACAGTTCCACACTTAGACATACACACACCCAGATTGTGTACATATATTTGAACTTTTGCTCTGTACCTGTAGTTATTTTCCATGTTCACTATGTAAATTGTGTATCAATTGTGTGGTGTTAGTTTGGTTTTATGTTTAAAATGTAATAATGCTGGTTGTTAAAGCAGGTTTTGTCTTAACAAACACACCTTCTGCCTGATTAAAATTGTGTTTCATATTGAGCCATCTTGGCTACATGTTCTACAGCAGTTCTGAGTTCAGCCAAGAACTCCATGTCCAAACTCCTACTGGAGGGAAGGGCCACCTTACTTGACTTATTCCCTTGGAGCATTCTTTACCTCAAAACTATTCACCTTTCTCCTCTCAACCTACTTATCGTGCCTTGCAGACAGTCATTGCAGCAAAGGCCACTGTTAGGAGTCCTGTGCTGCAGAGCAACCTATTCACCAGAATGTAAATATAAAACTAAGCTGTCAACATGGGAAATGAGAAATTTGCATTTTTATTGTCAGTCAGTAAATTGAGTTGGGTTTTCACTGTCAGGGTTTTCAGAAGGTGCATCACCTCTGGCAGTTGGCTGGGCGTATTCTTTCAGACTTGTTTGCAGGCTACCCGTTGCCTTTCTCTTTGTGGTCCAGTGTATCCATTTGTTTGATGTTGATAAACCATAGTGAGGTTGAAGGTGTCTTTCCTTTACCCAAGCACCAACTTTTGAAAATGAAATGTGTTGATATATTCTTAACAAAACTCAGCATGTGGTCTTATTGTGTAGATGAGTGTGGTTGAACCCAGTCTGAGAAAACCATTGCATTGCACATCTGTATAGCCTGATGTAATGTAAAATTCTATTTTAAGCTCCATCCAGAGTACTCACAAGCTTGTATTGGTACAGTGTGTAACTAGCCAAAGTCCACTGCAGTGTTTGTACTGGAGAAACCATGCTATCATATTGCCATCTTCTGATGAGAAGACTATTATTTTTTCCCCACTGTTGCACTTTGGAAATGTAACTCAATTCAATTTTATTTGTATAGCACCAATTCTCACAGTTTAAAATTCAGAGACCGGCTAGGTCTCTGGACCTGTTTGCAGTTGTAAACATTTTAGTTGTTTAGATGATCAATTATGTGTGGCTGTAAAGCAGTTGCTATCATATACACAGTTGCAGGCAGCAAGCTTATCTCCACATTCACCCTTAAATTACTGACTTTTAATTCCTCACTTTAAAGTTAATGTCTCTGTTTTCTAGTTTTTAGTATTGCTTTCTTCTTTCTTTCTTTTAATACTATTAGTAGTGATAGATCAACAGAATCCAAACAGGTCATTTGTATGTAAAATTTTCCAATTTTTGGGAAAGTGCAGAAAGATAGTGACAATGATAAAATTCATACACTGTTCTAATATGAGTGTGTATATATATCCTGAACTGGCCTTTTCTCACTTTTCTTCTGACTGTTTGATTGTAAATGCCTTTTGAAGCCTGCACCTCAGATAGCCCAATTAGCAAAAGAATCAGAGAGAGAGAGAGAGCAAGTGATGGAGAAAAGAGGTGGAGGGTGAAAAAATGAGGAGTGAGAAAAGGGAAAGACGGGGCTAGGGGGAGCAATGGTGATTAATTTGATTCGGTAGAGAAAAGGGCCAGGAGCATATATGATTATTAATCCTCATAATAGTAAGATCATTTTCATATCATAGTTCTCCAGCCTTTACACCTTTCTCTCTTATGTGTCTGTCACTGTTGCTGTGCTTCTGTGCTCTGTTGTTATTAGGCGACCTCATTTCTCTTTTTTGGTAGAGATCCCCCTCCACCCCCAGGAGGCACTTTGTGATGCCATCAACTGTGTATTGCTGCTTAAAGCCGCGTTCAGACTGAGTTTCAAGAGTGTGGAGTGAAAAAAATGCATCTCTCTCCATTCATTCCTATGGGGGATTGCCTTCACTGCAGCCAGCACCAGTACCACAGGGGGACTCTGGCAAAACATTGTAGCCCCGTGTGTCGAAAAAGTTGGATTTTGTTCAGCTTTTGCTGCACTGGACAGTGACATCATCCAACAACAGGGCAACAGCGGTGCAGTGGGTAGAGCAGCTGTCTCCCAACCGGAAGGTTGAAGGTTTAAATCTCGGTGCCTGCAGTCCACATGTTGAAGTGTCCTTGGGCAAGACATTGAATCCTCCCATTGACCCCGATGGTTGGAGCCGCAGATGGCTGCCTTGGTTCTGTACCGGAAACAAATTCCTTTTGTGTAACATTGGCCAATAAAGGTGATTATCCTTATCCAAAAGTGCTGCAGTGACCAATCATGTACGGGTGACATTTGAAGGGTGGACACCACGGGAAGAAAACTTTAGTTTACCTTGTTAGCATGAGCATTCACTATTTGCTCTCAAATTTGGGCCACACTGCTATTCAGTCTCGAATTTGGGCCAATTAACACACCATAACGGAATGCCATGCATTTTCATTTGGGTACTGGATGTTAAATGGTGTTAAATTCATGGGCTGGAAACACGAATAAGTCCACTATGGACTCGTCACAACGTGGCCGTATCGTATACACCTACAGCAGTCATCCCGCAACCCCTCACCCCTCAACCAACGCAGCCCCCTGCGTAAAAACACAGTAGGGAGTTGCATTTTGCCAGTCTTGGTGTGAAGGTGGTGTAACGCACCTACAGGTGCAACAACACCGTCCTGTAATGCAATCACTTCCTACAAAATACAGAGAAGTTTGTGGCAGACAAATCCTTGTTTGTCTATGCAGGTGTCTGCATCCTGGTGTATGTGCTCGAGAGTGGGTGGGTGAGCTCTGCCACATTTACAAAGCAATTATAATAAACCTTTTGATCTCCCTGTGTTCTGTAGAAATTAGTTTCCTTCTCTGTAGGTAAATGTGTGTGCTTGTGCTGCTGAGTTTTCTTTTAGG